TGGGGTCTGCCACGCCTCCTTCTGCCTGTTACATACATTTAACAAAACCATTATACCCTGATTTCCCATTTTCAATGGGTTCAGGGTATAAAAATCGGAAAAAAAACCGATATGATATGATGGTCCTCAAACAAAAGTGTTAAATTAACTGATCAATTATATTTTATTAAAAGATTGCGTTAGAAAAGTTATATGGGGATTTCTTGAATAAATTTACTCATATAAGATGGATATAATATAAAAATTAATATTTGAAATTAACTCATACTCTCAAATTAATTAATTAGATGGCAAAATACGTTCATTTATATTATTTCGATTCTTGATAGTAGTAAAAAAAATTTGATACCTTCTTATACAACTTGAAAGAGAATATTGTAATTATTTGTGTATTAATTAAAAATCAATGATTTTTCATCATATATATTTAATGATTTTACTGCAGTTAATGACTTAGCTCCTTTGACTTTTCTAAGCAACCACCAATTTGTACGCTTCATATACTCGTATATACGGTTCAACGCTCAGGGGGGAGAAAAAGTACGTATTCTTAGTTTTACAAGCTGCCGTTCAGAAATTTGTGACCTAGTTGTTGAAAAATCGGTAAATCATATGTATTCACTCATATATTCTGAGCGAAAAGTCAAAGCTGAATCCGCTAAGAGTTGGCAACTAATTCGTACAATGTTTTAATCCTACGGCAAATCCTTTGTCCAGAAATATAAAAATATGAAGGAAACAGAGAAACGAAATCAATGAGAGAGTGAGAAAGAAAGGGAATAAGGGTCTCTTGAAGCTCCACAGGGAAACTTAAGTCGAAGTAAGTGCAATAGCTGACAAATTAACGTCATCCAGGAGCCAGGAAAAAATTTCATGTTGATATTAGAGTCAATATTTAATAATTAGTTAAATATAATTGTTGCACACTAGTTATTGAACGGAATTGAATTAATGATTCATTCTCATTATTCATAATTAATTAATTTAATGCATAGTTAAGAACATTTGATATTTGTCGTTTTCAATCGAATTGTAACAGTTTAATTTTAGTTTGGCCTGGCTTAAGCTTCGCTAAATCTCAGGTTGAATATACATATACAATGGTAACCACTTTCCGTTAGCATGTATCGGAAATACATACATACATATATGTACATACTATAAATATGCATAATATTTTGATGGATATTGTGCTTGGTGTTCCAGTTTAATGAGCGATAAATTAATTAATGCTCGATAAAGTTATTGTCGCTATTAATTACTTTACACGATGCCACCTCGAACGGTCTTTTAATAGTATTTCGCATGGTCCCACACACTGGCAATTAGCTGCAGCACGCACAGGACATCATGTCACGCCCTCGGGTATTCTCCAGCGACTGACTGCCGAAGAGTCTTTACGACAATGTTTGCTGCCTGAATAACGAACTGATTCTGGGCCATGAATTTAATATGTTGCAACAGTTAATGGTTTTAGTGGCACTTGACGTGGCATCAACACCACCCACCCCACCCCATTACCCCAAAGCATGGCCATACATTAGCCACGCGTCGAACGAGAATTTATGATTCAAGCTCATGAATATTGTCAATACCTTTAAAACAGTAGCCACAGTCATTTACTCGGCAGCAACGACACCAAGATGGAAATTCGATGGTCAAAACATGCTGTAAGTGAAATCTTTTTAATGGTTCGCTCATCTTAAATGCCATTTCAATTTGGGAACTTCCGTTTCCGCCCGACACTGCACCCCCGCCACTCGCCACGCCCCGCCCACCATACGTCACTTGCTGGTGTTACTCTTTGTCCGTAATGTCCTTGCCCAACGCAGAGCACTTCTTCATTTACATCACGGACACATACATGAACATATCCACACACAGAGACAAGACAAAACCTCACATTTCTACAGTTTAGAAACGCTTTTGGTATTTACATCATTTAACAATCAATAAATTTGTAATTGGAGTCCTATACAGCTTCACAGTTCACTTGGTGCGACTTAAATAATATAATTCGATTTAAAAAATATCAATCAGCAATCAAGTGATTCCGCTGATTTACTTTCTGCCGAGCGCGTCCAATAGGTTTGAAAGTTCCGCTGTAACTGAAGCAGTTAACGACATCTGCCGAATGTATTTATGTTAGCCAGCTCGCAAAAGCTTTGTAAAGGACTTTATAAGGACGTTAAAGCTCGCACATACTTGAGTTTTAACCAAATGCGCCAACATTTCTATGGCACAAAAGATAGATGCTATGGCACTCAATTTCACTCACGAACTAAGTAGTTCCGACAGCTAAATAATATTGAACTACTGTTCAATAACAGCTGGCACTCTCGACGAGTGAAGGAGTGAAACGGCTTTCATTARGCGAAAATAAATATTAATATAAATTAATATTGTATTTTATTTAAATAAAGGAGTTTCAACAATAATTGATGGCCCACTACAAGGGTGCCGCCAGCGAGGCTGGGCGCGCTGCTCAACTAATGAAAAAGCGCGAGATCCAGCAGCAAGAAATTGAGTTCCGGAAAAAAAAAATCGAGGAGGAGCTGAAGCTGGATAAGATTGAGAACAAGTTTGCGACACACTACGATGCTGTTGAGCAACAGCTCAAGTCGTCGACCATTGGCCTGGTCACTCTCGATGAGATGAAGGCTAAGCAAGAAGACATAGTGCGAGAGAGAGAAAAGAAATTGGCGCAAAAGAAGGATGAAAAGGATCGAGAGAAGCAGCGTGTTTTAGAAGCCATACAAGCAGAGAAGAACAAACAGAAGCGTCAAATACAAGCGTTATCCTTCAATATAGATGATGACGAAGAAGAGGAAAAAGACGAAGACGATGGAGCGACAGAGGAAAAGTTTGTCAAACCCAAGCCAGCCAAGTGGATCGATCAGTTAGATGTGCAGATGCCAGTCAAAAGAAAGAAAATTTGTAAGAATCCTGATGTGGACACGTCCTTTCTGCCAGATCGCGAGCGTGAGGAACAGGAGAATCGCTTGCGGGAACAATTACGACAAGAGTGGGTTATGCAGCAGGCGGAACTCAAAGACGAGGACATCTCCATTACGTTTAGCTACTGGGATGGCTCCGGGCACAGGCGAAATGTGCTGATGAAAAAGGGTAATTCCATATATCAGTTCCTTCAAAAATGCCTGGAGCTGCTACGCAAAGAGTTCATCGAGCTGAAGACTGTGATGGCCGATCAGCTAATGTATGTGAAGGAGGATTTGATATTGCCGCATCACTACTCCTTTTATGACTTCATCGTTACTAAGGCTCGCGGCAAATCCGGCCCACTATTCCAGTTCGATGTGCACGACGATGTTCGTATGATAAGTGACGCCTCCGTCGAGAAGGAGGAATCACATGCTGGCAAAGTGCTGTTGCGTTCGTGGTATGAGCGCAACAAGCACATCTTCCCGGCCAGCCGCTGGGAGCCATATGATCCCACCAAGTCGTACGACAAATATACAATCAAGGATAACGACAAAGACAAAAACAAAAAATAGAACTTCGATTTTATATACTTTAAATGCTGGTTTAAAACTGATTAAATTCATTTAAATTCAAAACTATCTTCTGTTTATGGCGAACGCTTTGGCTATGAAAAAAAAAGATCGAATACTAAAAAAGTAATATATATTTTTAAAATAGAGCAATAATAATAGCACTTACCATATAGCATCTTGTATGGTTAGTGATAATAGTCAGTGAGTCAGCGGTAGGTCGGCGCAGCTAAAAGTTAAACAGTTTTCTGTTACTTTCAACGTAGCGTTTTGCAGCACTATTGCTGTTACAACATCTGTTTACTGAGGCGGACGACAATCTTTAAATAACAATACAAGTGTCTGAAAACAATATTTGGTGCGTGGGTTTCAAAGTGCTTGGACGTGAGCGACTCCATTGGTGGGTGAGAATAGAACTGGCATTAAGTGCGCATATTACTAATATAAACTGACTATTTGCGTGTACAATATATACATCAGTGCGTGTGCAAATAGTAAATATTAACGGCTTTTGAGTAAAGGCCATAGATTGAGTGCAATAATTGTATTTCTTTTTAAATAAGGCATAAATCCGACTACGTTTACAAAATGCTAAAAAGTGACTGGAATTTATTTTGAAAACTGGTTTGTTTTTTTTTTTCGCTTTCACTCTCACCAGCTGAACTGCTTTGTGCTGTCACTGCAGTAATTGTTTGTTTTGCTTCCAATAGGAATTAGCAAAACTGCTGCACATGCATCCAACTCGGATTTCGTTTTTATTTTTGTGCTTAGATTAGCAAATTCTAATGACTAGATAAGATTGTGTATGATGGGTATACGTTTACCATAGTATTTGTTATTTAATTGCAGGTTTTATACAAGTTCCCCGTTACACGGCTCAAAACTAAAGTATTAAAAATTAAAATGAGATATTTTGGCGGCATTGAAGGGTAAGTAAGGTTGTTCGTAGTTGCTACTAATAGGTTAACTTCAGTATATATATTATATATATTAAATTCATGTATCTGTAAAATGCGCAAATGTTTAATAATGAGATAGATTATGTGTTTTTTTTATTTTTTTTTTTTATTATTATTGTTGCGCACGACAATTACTTATTGATCCCCTTTAATACAAGCAATCTTATATTAATATATTATTTATACATACCTATACATTTTTTAGGTGCATTGGATGCAAAAATATTTGCATATGATAAAAATCCTAACAACTCTACTTAAATATGCAAAATTAATGAATGGTAACATATTACTCACTATATAGTGTGTGTATTTTATGCACGTACGTATTTATTTAATTAGGGAAACTCGTGTATTATTTATTTATTTCATATCTCTTAAATGCAGAGCCTAAGCTGTTTTGATAAACTTTACCAGCTTAGTCTCAGGGACCTTTTTATTCTTTGTTATCGTACGCTGTTCATTCATAAAGGGTACTAATACCTCTGGTATCTGTATGTGATCTCCGCTCTGATATGACTCAGTTAGAGCGATCAGTAGCCGTGGAATTGCCGTGGCGGTACCATTGAGAGTATGAGCATATACGACCGCTCCATCACAGGCGCGTTTATACGTGATATTCAGGCGCTTGGCCTGGTAGTCCGTGCAGTTACTGCAGCTTGATATTTCACCCCACATCTGGCGACCTGGCATCCACGCTTCTATATCATATTTCTGATATGCGGGCGCACCCAGCTCACAAGGCGGCATGTCGAGCAGTCGAAAGTTAATGCCCAATCGCTTAAACAAATCTATTTCAATGTTCTTGAGCTCCTCGAGCGTGGGCTCCGATTGATCGGCCGTCGCAATGGCAAACATTTCTACCTTGGTAAACTGATGCACCCGGTAGATGCCCTTCTCCTCGTGCAGTCCTGAGGTCTCTGCTCGATAGCAACGACTGACGGCAGCTACTTTTAAAGGCAACTCGTGTTCCGTCAACTGCCGGTTTGCAAAGTAACCAGCGAGAGCCATTTCGGAAGTGCCCGACAGGCATTCTCCTATGTCCAACTTATAGACCTGTGTCCGTTCGCCTTCGGTACGCATGCCACAGCTCTCGATAATCCCTCGGGGCAGTACGTCAGGCACTGAGATAAGAATAAATTTATTTCGAGTCAGCGATTTCAGTGCGTATTGTATGATAGCCTGCTCCAGCATGGCCAGCTGACCCATCAGGTAGTAGCTCTTGTGCCCCGTATAATTGCCCAGATGCTCCATGCGGTACAGGTTAAGTGTACGCGCCAGTTCCGAGAACTCTTTGGCTCGCTCAGGCTGAAGACGATGTTCAAACTTAGCCAGCTCCATTGCCTCATTGTCGTATGTGAGCAGGCGCGGATGAGTTGCGTTCGGTAGTTGCTGGAGCTCAGCAGCCAATTCCTGGCGTGTGTCCTCCGCTCCTTGCCCTCTGTTCACCTGCATGCTTTCCACAAGCTGCCGAATTCGTGGTATATTGTTCTTGTGATGCCGCATGAGTACATTTCGTTCCAGCTCATCCAGCTGTGCACTGGTTATTGCCGGTTGATCATGCGCCGCCTCCTTTGTTGTTGTTTTTATTAGTCGGTGGTTCATGCTATTGCGGCAATTAAGCAACAGCAGTTTTTGTACATTTGTTAAAAGCTTCATGTCAATTAAAATTACGTTTCTATTCTTCTTTTGTTGCGTGAAATTTTTGTTAATTAGCACGCACTTTTCGACTTCTCGTCATCTATTAAATTATCAATTAAAAATTTTCATTGTGCAATATGAACAAATTCTGTGCGATGATATGGCAGCGCCATTTAGTTTAGTGCTGCCACTAAGCGAAGAGAGTCTTGACGTCACAAATGTCATGCTCCAATACACAGCACTATGCAACATATATTTTTTCAACTCATACAAATCTAGCTAATAATTCAGATTACAGATAACACAATGGCACATAAACTGTTTTTCCTCATTTCATCAGGCTTTTATTTGAATTGAATTGCGTTTAAATTGCTGATAAACAAGCTTGCATCCAGCGCGCTCTATAACGGCAATTGTCGCAATAAATATACATAAATGCAGCCTAAGGCGTAAATACCCACACACATATACATATGTAAATATATTTAGAGAATGTATACATATGTATGAATGTAGATAAATGGTAAATGTATGTATGTATGTTAAAGTTATCCGTATTTAACTCTATTTAATGTTAGATACATACAATGTATAAATTAAGACAATTGATCTAAAAATATATCAAAATCTAGGTCATGTAATTCAAGCTCAATAATATTCTGAAAATAATTCCTGTAATTCAATTCACTACATTCAAAATTGATGGGGCTTGTGATAGCAGCTAAAATATGTTTATGTACATACATATGTATATCTTTCAGAATTTTGATCAATTGAATAAACTTCACTAAATAAAGAATTTTATTAATTAAATTAAGTCAATTGCTTTAATTGAATAACCATTGATAAAAGCATTCTTAAATAGGTCTTAATAGTCGAACAATACAATCAAACCGATTATACAGATAGGAGATATTCATATGTACATACATATATACTTTTTTTGTTTGTGTATTGCAGTGGAGCGACGCACTCCCATTTGATCATCTGTGATGAAAGCGGTGCCTCAGTGGGCACGACAAGTGGTCTGGGCACAAATCATTGGGGCATCGGAATACCGACATGTGCGCGTCGCATCGCTGATATGGTGGAACGGTGCAAGGATGAATGTAACATACCAAGAGATATCCCATTGGCGAGCCTTGGTCTCAGCCTGAGTGGCTGCGAACAGGTAACTTGTAATAAAAGTTGAAGCCCTTGGTTTATCCTCTTGTACACAATAGGAAGCTACCAATCGCGAGCTGGAACTGGAGCTGCGACGTACTTTCCCCACTCTGGCAGAGAACTATGCCGTCTCGAGCGACACAATGGGCAGTATGTTCACGGCCTCCTCTATTGGTGGGATCGTCCTTATCTCGGGAACCGGCTCCAATTGCTTGCTGCGAAATCCTGATGGCAGCATGGCTAATTGCGGTGGTTGGGGTCATTTTCTGGGGGACGAAGGCAGCGGTGAGTGCTCTTACATGAAAAATGCATTAATCATTATCAGCTTTATTAATCCATTAACATCAGCTGATAGCAATATGGATAGCAATATAATTGAAGATGAGTTTTTGGTTGCTTTTTCAGCCTGGTTTATATCTTATCGTGCAACTAAGGTGGTCTTTGATCATATGGACAACTTGGTCAAGTCACCTTTTCCCATTGATCGGACCTGGGCGCTTATTCGTGAGCATTTCAGCATAGAGACACGCTACGATTTACTACCTTATTGTTATGCCAAATTCGATAAGCCCTTCTTTGCCAATTTGTGCGAGAAGCTAGCGAGGAATGCCGAAGCCGGCGACAAACTGGCCTTATCGCTTTTCCACGAAGCTGCTATCCATCTTGCGCATATGATCAAGGCAGTGCTGCCTCAGGTGCACGAGGACCTGGTCAAGTCCGGTAATCTGAATATTGTGTGCGTCGGATCGGTGTGGAGCAGCTGGAATCTGCTGCAGGAGGCTTTCATCAATGAGATCTCGAAAACGAGCATCGATTATAATCTCAAGCTGGTGCGTATCACCAAAAGCAGCGCTTATGGCGCCTGTTACCTGGGTGCCGATAGTGCTAAATTCGAGTTGCCCCGCAACTATGCTGACAACTTTGTCGTGTTGCACGTCCATCCAACAAGCACTCCGATTAAAAATGTGGTCACAGCGAGAGCTTCTGGCTATTAACTAAATAAAATGTATTTTTCAGTCATTCCAAGAATTATCAGTAAATAAAACAATATTACCGTATCTAGTAGCTAATGTATTCCAAATCGAACTATTATGTAAAAACATATCTATAAATGTCCATATGGTCATTCCCGAAGTTACATGAGTATATTGGTTGTGCATAATGTACGTATTTCTGTCCTGTCTGTCCCGATATACTGTTAGTAAGTTCTAATTAAGTAGTTTTGTGTCGGAACATCTATTCGTAAGTGGGGCTTACCACAAAGCTGTATTATAGTTCAAAATTGGTTTAAGTTAAAATAAATATGCAATATATAAAAGAACTATTCGACTTATGTGTATAAACTGAAAAAACGGAGTTTTCTAAAGTTTATTAGAAATACGTATGAAAATTTTATTCGATAAAGTTCATTGTATTAAGTTTGTATGTGTATAAACATATTTATATTTATATGCGCGCTGGCTAATTGTCTGATTTATTTTTATTTAATACACTTTCCATTTAAATTCTTTAAGCTTTTTTTTTACCGTTAAAACCAATGTAATTCATTGCCCAATTGTCGATTCTTTGGCTAATTTTGCTTTTGCTACTATTTTTGATTGTTTTGAATATAGTACTCAGCTCAGAAATTACAATGTTTAAAATTAGGCTTGCATAGAAACTGTCTAAATATCCGAATATATTGTGTGTGAGTAGCTAGTTGCGTTATGATTAAATATATGTTATGTTATATGTTACGAGTCTATGATTAGCTTAAACACTGTATAATTCTTAATTGTTCATGCTCTGGCGTAGCTTTTGTGGATCTTGATAGTGTGACGATGAGGATATGACCGATGGATGCTGTGGTGGCGGGAAACAACGCACATGCTCCACATTTGAGCCTTCACCGTCGCCTCCCTTCAGATATTTGTTAAGTATTGAAAAGATTTGTGAATTTAATACTTGAAAGCGTCTTATGCGATCGACCATTCGTTTCAATTGCTGCATTAGGAAGATATTACTAAAATTTGTAATTTAGTTAGGGGAATGCCCACTTACAATGCCCTTCACATCCTCGTCCTTGCCATCAACGCGTTGCACACGTAATATGTGATAACAAAAGTCGAGCGCTTCAAAACGTCGTTGCTGACCAAGCAGTACGATCATAACGCAACCAGCCCAATTGAGACCCTCGCCAAAGAGCTCCTCAATGGTGTACTCGGTGCCGCGCACTGGTATACAATAGACAAATTGCAATGCAGACCAGAGACGATGAAATTCAGAGCATTCGTCAACATGGATGATACCATTAGCAGGCGGTGGGCCACACCAGACAGGATCATCCAAATAACTTTTTACTCGATTTAAAATGACTTCAAATATGCTCAGGCCGCAGCAAAGTCGCTCGCGTGTCAGCAGATCTCCTTCACGTGCTATCATTGCTTGCTGCGTATTATAATTATTTTAAAAAATCAGAAAAAGTATAAGCATTTATTTATCTATTTACTAGATATTTACCTTGGCAGTACCAATTTTCTCTACATTAGACACAATTTGCAGATTGGCAAACTGAGCTTCCAGACGTTTTTGCTTAGCCTCCGGCTTTTCGTTCTCTATAAAAATATATGGTAAACATATAAATATAAAAATTGTATCAAATTGAAAGACTAAAGCGCACCTTTGCAAAAGGGACGCGGGAAGATGTTTTGAAAGAGTGCTGCATGGAGCAGATCGCACACCTCCTCTTGCGACAAAGCTTGCTCGATTAAGAGGCAAAAGATTATGCAGTTGCCAAATTCTCTAAACGATTGAAATAATTCCGTTTTAGTATCTGGATATTGCACAATGTCAGTAAGATGTGCCTGATAATAGCTGAGCACACCGGGCGAGCCATATTCGCAACGGGGCAATTTGCAAGATTTGGGCATAGCAATCATCAGCGTTTTAGTGAACTGTAGCAACGAGCCTTGTATCAGTGGCTTAACAATGTCCTTTAGTATTATGTCCATTACTACGGCGATGCCCTGGTAGCCTAATAGACGGCACATAGCATGGAAATGTGGTGAGCCAACAAACCCCGTATACTGGCCGTACTGTGTGGTATATGCAGCATTCAGCTGCTTTGAGCCCCATAGATAATAATGCGACATCTGGGGCGGCTTCTCGCGCTGTATGGCCTGTGAAGACGATAAATTGACCTTCGTACGAATAAAGCTGTAAATTAAATAACACAAATTTTATAGAATTCTGATGCAATGTAGTTGACCAGAACATACCGATTCGTAGCTGCATTGTAACAGTAATTAACCAGAAAGTCATAATTTAATTCCACAAAAACATGTAAAGTGATGCGGCCATACGGAGCCAGGACATTATGATTTGCCTCCTTGACCATGCCTTCAAAATTATCTAAGGCCAAATATTTGCTTAGCATTTTGTGACAAATACGGTTGGCTTCCAAAAGTCCCTCGAGTTCCTTCAATTGACAGTACATGTTCAATTTCTCATTTATTTTCTTGTGGTGCATCTCTCAGATTTTGCTTACCACAATCCCAGTTATATCATTGCCCTCGAAACGACTGATGGCCAATTCTATACTCTTGTGCATATTTGCATTGATACGTTGTGTAATTAGTTTGTTTAGATCAATGGAACGACCTGGTAAGCGGCAAAATGTGTTTAAGTATATGTTTTATGCGCAACACTATTATCTTTACCTAAGAGCTGCACGTGCCTTTGCTTCAGTAATGTTTCATAGCGATTGTTGCGTGGATATGATTGGAAATTGAAACCTAAAACTTCGCACTCCAGACGAAAACGTTTATCTAAGAAAATGCTAGAAGCAAAATACGATCACAGAGTTAAAAGTATGCACTTAAAGGCTTGAAGGGTGCAAATCATCTAAGTACATATATCAAACTTACCTCCCAGCCAGTTGCTTGTAGTGAGCAAATATTTGCTCACTTAGTTTATATACAAACTGATCAAAGCATAAATTGACTTCGGCCTCCACCTCGTCATAGAGGAATTGCTTGCGGAACACTGTAAGAGCATAATGTGCTGAATCGTTGTACAAGTCCAACGGATACAGCACAAACCTAAAGCAATAAACACGAATTATAATAATACTATACGGCTCAATGGACAGAAACTTACTCCATCATAGATGGCTCCTTGGTTTGGAGTATGTGATCGGTTAATATCCATGGCATGGACATTTCAATAGGAAACTGAATACGTTTCTCCATTGTAATTAAATCTTTGCATTCTTCATTGTGTTGATGTCGAACCATGCACTTGTTTACTTTGCGGCCCATAGTCATTTCCAAGTAGAATTCGCGATACCACAACTGGGACAGGTCGCAGCACTTTTGCAGTGTATCGCTCAGATTTAGCAAGTAACTCCAATAAAAAGATGTCTTATGAAAAGTATCAATCTGCATTAAATAGTTGCCATCAATATCTTTGCGTAGAGTACGCTTTCCGCCGCTTTTGTCAGCAATCAGGGACTCGAGCATTGTGCGCACCATGTACAGCTGTGTAGAGGAGGGCCCCACATTCAAGCGGGGCACATGTATACGAAAGCCACCATCGGGATCCTTCTTGCCCTTGGACACTGGATCATCAGTGGGCTCATAGCCTTTTTGCCAATCCGCGGAAGTTTCACGCACCGACATAATAATGCTCCGAATCAAATCCTTTTTGTTTTTGACTGCCTTGCGAAGAGGTTCACGTAGCGTTAGCTGCACAAAGTCCTGCAACTCAGCATAGATATTGCGTCTGATTGCCTCGCAAAGTACTGTTTCAATACGTGCCATTAGAACCTGCAGTCCCTTGATCATGGCAATCACCTCGATCAGTGCAAACTTCTCTTCGGATGTGTAATTGTAGCGAGTAGCACGCTCATATTCCTCCGCTTCCACGGGACAATCTTTGTTCTGATGATGATCAGTGGGATGCAGCAGTTTCCACGAGTAGAGCTCGGTGACGACGCTGGTCCACTCAGATAACAGCTGCAGACCGCGCAATGCCAGATCTGCCGTAATTCGATTCTCAGCATCCGTTGGATTCTCTTTGACGGTGGTGGTCACCTCATTTGTGTATCGTGCCAGCTCGGATATGTATTTCACATGGTCCTCGCGTATCTGAGGCAAATGCACCATCAAATCTGCCTGCGGGCTGATGGCATTGGAGCTAGACAAGGGCCACTTGCTAGAATCAAAATGTTTGCTCCGTTTTATATAGTTAAATGGAGCTATTTGCATATCGCCAAAGAGAGGCACCACCTCTAGATTCTTGAAGATGCGATCAATGCGATCCAGACGTATTTTTTTTTTCTGATCTAGTTTGTTGATATTGCACGCGTCACTGTCCATGAGGAATAAACCGAAGCCCATGACTTTCACCAGCATGTGCTTCTCCTCGGGCGTCAAATACATTTTCGTTTCAAACATATGCACGCAAATGTTGACAACGTCAGATAGCAAATCCTCGTAGCCAACGATTTTTTCCAACGTATCCTTGACAGTGTCACGTATTTTGTTTTGAGTGGCCAAGAACATTGAAAGATTTTGTGATTCTTGAAGCGTATGCGAATCCGACATAACTTTAAGGAACTGTGCTGCGCGTCTATATGTCGAATAGTCGTTCTTTACGCTTGACTTCATATTCTTCAATTCGTCCAGCACGGCAAACATATTAATAAATTTTCCGAGTGTAAGGAGATATGCCTCCGATACGAAGTCCTTGCGTTTCTCAGTATGACATAGACGTTTTATTTCTCCCGAAAATGCTTCGATAGCTTTGCGTTGGAAATACATAAAGTTAAGCAATTTATTTACCTCCGGTGCTAGAACTTCCACGGTTTTTTCATAAATTTCCACACGATTTGGCTGCTCGTTTGATTTTGGCTGCGGTATGGCCCGGGAGCAGCAGCGCCAGGTATACAGCATAACAGCATGCTTTTGACCCTCGTCAAGTAAAACGTTCTGGAGCGAATATAAAATCACATTCAATTATCATTTTCTAAAATACTATACCAATCGATTCTCAAGAACTTACCAAGTTTGCGTGTGTTGTCGCTTCTTCGATGTACTTGGCAATGCCCGTAACGAAACCATTACGATCCTCGAAATTCGTATCAAAATTTGCTTTGTAAATAATGGAACAGGGTTGGGCTTCAATACACGGCTGCTCATCGGGCAGAGGTATTTCGTCCAGCACCTCTACATTAGACAGGGCATCAGCTAGCGTTATCTTTTCGGTCATTTTACTATTTTCATCACTTTTAACTTAGTGACGGAAATTAACAGATAAACTCGCACTGAAAGGCGGGGCTATGGCGGTCTGTTTCTCTGACAGACGATTTTTTCGTCACAAATACACAAACATAATTTTATGTGCGTGAGTCACAGCGAGGCGCGTGCATGCAGTGTTGCAAGTTCCAAAATGTGTGTGAATGTCACTATAATATCGATATGTAGTAATCGTTGGCGCCGGAATGCCATTACACCTTTTCCAGCACTTGCAACTTACCGGCGTCAGACGTTTATTTGAGAACGGTTTCTTCTGTCGTGCACGTTTTTTTTATATCTCTCTATTGCGCTAAATAAAATACAATCTACAAAATGTCGATGTTCTGGGGTAAGTTTTAATTGTTTGTTAAATGTTTTAATATTTTTAGATGCGTCAATTCATAAATACTTGTGTGCAAGCTGACGCTCCAGCAGTTCGTGGAATTTTGCGTATACCACGTGCTTGCGGCCGTCACAGCGTGGACTTGTTTTAGGGCCTTGTATTTTTTTTTTTTTAATAAATAATAAATATTTATTTGTGTTTGCCTTATATACTCTTGTAGGATTAAGTATGAAACCCAACCGGAAATACACACAAACCATTGTGAAATCGTTCCATATTTCGGGCGTAGCACTTGATGAGGGCGACTCCGCTAAGGTTTACATTACCGCAGATAAAACCAAGTTCATTGTTGCAACTTTATCTAAAAGCTTGCCCCAAATGACACTCGATTTGAACTTCTGCAAGGGCGATAAGATTATGTTTCAAACAACTGGTGAGGCTCTATTTAATACATATATATTTATATACTACGTATACATATACATACATATATTTATATTGTAATATTTTTCAGGAAATGCTGTGGTTTCATTGATTGGCTACTTGCATGATACTGATGAATCTGATGATGAGTTCGAAGACGAAGAGGAATATGAGAAAGTTGTGAACGCTTTGAAGAAGGGTCAAAAGGCTAAAGGAGGTACCGACGCCATTCAATCTGATGAAGATGGTGGAGAGGAGGATGAAGACGAGGACGATGATGATGATATGGATGATAGCAAGCTCGCTGCTGAGTATTCATCATTGCTCGAGGATGAATCTGGTGATGAAGACGACGAAGAGGATGACTCTGACGAGGACGAGGACGAGGATGACTCTGATGAAGAGGATGAGGAGGAAAATAACGCAGCTCCCAAGGCAAAAAAAGCCAAAATAAATGAGACTGCCAAAAAGCCAGCTAAGGATCAGAATGGAGTGACCAAAAAACAGGAGAAGCAACAGCAGCAGCAAAAATCGAAGAAGGAAAACAAAGTGGTAGCTGGATCTGAGTCGAAGAAAGAGCAGGTCAAGGCAAAGGAGGGTAAACAAAATATCGCTGCTTCTACTGTACCTGGTGGGGAGCGCACCATAGCGGGTGGTGTTAAGGTCCAGGATATACAGGCAGGCAACGGGCCAGAGGCCAAGCAGGGTAAACGCGTGTCCGTTTACTATGTTGGACGCCTTAAATCCAATAACAAAACATTCGACAGCATGCAGAAAGGAAATGGATTTAAGTTCGCCTTAGGCGCTGGAGAAGTTATTAAAGGCTGGGATGTAGGCGTTAGTGGTATGAAGGTGGGCGGTAAACGTCGCATTACTTGCCCAGCTCACATGGCATATGGTGCACGCGGCCATCCGCCCACTATTCCGCCAAACTCGACGCTCGTCTTCGATGTGGAGCTGAAGGCTGTACACTAAGGAAGCTTAAAGAAGAAATTAGGCATCTAAATATAGAATTAAATATTACTATGGATTATCAATATCAGCAGATCGTTCGGTTAAGAATGCATACACCATTCATGGATATATATAACATATGTGCTCATATTATTTTCTTATAAATTTATAAAATCCACTTTTCGTGCGATTTAATGTTGATTTCAAATAAAGCAGATTTATAGGAAAGACTATATGACTTATATGTATATGTATATAAGATATATTCATTTAACAGTTGGTTTTTGAACATTGCTTGTTGGTGCCTCGATTTGGCTTGATTCGAGCAGTGGCTCTGCTGGCAGCTTCCAGTGTTCGAAGACATAGGGCAAGCGTTCGCTCGGGTCAGTGCTCCAGTGATGAATGCGACATTTGAGTGTGGCCTGTTCCAGCTTGTTAATTGTTATGATACAGCTGAATTCCTTATTCTCCTTTCTTAGGTCGGGTCCTTCAATGCGTTCTGTGGGTAGCTTTATGCATTCCTCTTTGCAGTGAAAGCCCGCCTTGCGTAAGGAAGCTTTAATGTGCCATGGTTCTAATACCCAGGGCTCATCCTTGTTCATTATAACCGCTAGAACGATTGACTCTAGCATGTTGACAGTGCGTTGTGCATATGCCGAACTATGCTGCACAGCCGACTTTTCGGCTTCCGTCTTCGAATATTTGACAATGTTTTCGGGTGTTTTATAAGTCGCCAAGCCGGGCAACAACAACTTGTTGTACACGAAATATGGCTTCATTGAGACCACATCGCCCTTGTCGCCAACACCCTCTACGAAGGTTTTCAGCACCACTTCCATGTTAGGGCGTTTTTTTACTTGTGTATCCTCCACAAGCTCATAGATGAAGTGTTTTGCGCGTAGGCGACGGGGCTTCTCGTTCGTCTTGTGTAACAGCGGCTCATATTTGCGCTTCAAGACGAAAGTGGTCTGCAGATGTTGGGATATATTATTCGATTTGCACTCACTCTATAAGACATCAGACAGCTTACCCGCACTTGTTGCTTCAAATTGTTTGCACCTTTTAATAGATATAATTGTGTTGTACATAGGTTTTTCAACATCTTATTTATTTAGCACGGATAAGTAACCTTAGATTATTATTCGTAAAAATATCGATGTTTAATTGGTAATTCTATTTAATGCAAACCACTCTGGTTAGTGTGCAAACTCAACATTCATCGCATGCTAACGCAACAAAGAGATTCCAGCAGTTGCTGCTAATATCGATAGCAAGTGACAGAAGCAGCCCTGTCGATAATACAAATACTAAAATCTCAAAAAAGTATTTTGCTATTTATTTTTAATA